GTCCTTGCCTCTGAGTGAGGAAGGTGTGAGATATTTACATCTTTGGGAGGCTCTGGGCAGGCGCACCACCCCCACGCCTTCAACAGACACCCTCCCCAGAGACCATAATCCTTGCCTTTAAGGAAAGAAGCTGTGGGGTACTTGTGTCTTCCCTTCCCACATTATGTCGTCCCCCCCATTGTAGGCTACACAGGCCTCTAGGAGCTTGCTGTAGGTGGGGCGGCCATTTTAGGGACAGTTATTAGGTGGCCATTTTGCATCTATTGTTGGGTGGCCATTTTCTGTCAGGCATTTCTGCAGCCACTTCAGGTTACATTAAAACAAAAGAGGGCACAAAACCGGGAACATTTTAGCAGGTTGTTCTGGCGGCCATTTTAAAACTGTTTTCAGGCTGCCATTTCAAAGCTGACTTTGGGCCATCATTTTTCTGGTAGTCCTCTAGGCTGCCATTCGATTAATTGATAAGTAATAAAACACTGATAAGGTGGGAGGACGTGTAATAGAGTAGGTGACTGTGCAAGAGTTATTACACATGAACAAGATGGCATCTAAGAAGGGCCAGGGTAGGTCCAAGAGAAAGGTGCCTGCACCAAAGATCCCCAGGCAAATAGCGAGGGCTGTTTCTTCTTCGTCAGAGGATGAGGATGAGGCAGCTGAGCAGCAGGATATCCTGGTGAGGCTGGTCGCTCTGGAGCAAGCAAAGGGAGCTGTAGCTGCATCATCCAAAAGGACCACAGTCAGGGCTGGTCAGCATAAGGATAGCGAGCTGAGAGGAAGAAGTTTCGGGAGGAGGTGCTTAAGCAGCTTTCTTTTCTTGAGTGCAGGCCTGGCAATGTTGTTGGTATGGATAGCGGGGCAGCGGGAGTGTCAGCCACAGAGGACAAGGATGTGACACAGTGGAAATTCTTGAGGCCGAACCACTGGGTCCTAGTGGTAAGTGCAACCCTGCATGGCAACCGGGTATGGTCTGGCCTTGGGGACCAGTTCCTGATGCAGAGTCCTCAGCGGCCTCCCAGTCGGGCATGACACTGGGCTCTTCTAGTTCAGGACAGCCATGGGCTTGGGGCCCTCCTTATACCCCCCCCCGGCACCTTGGGGAGGATTTCCTTCTCAGGCACCTGGTATGCCTTTGAGCCCTTGGGGTGGTTGGGGCTGTTCACCCCCTGGGATGAACCCTTGTACCACAGCCTCTGGTATGGCAATGCCCTTCGATGACATTGCTCTGCCATTAGGTGATCACCTTTTGCTGGCAACACGGAAGAAAATTTGTAGAAGGGACTTTATTGACTCCTTTAGCCTTTATCGGGATCTTGAAAAGAAGGATAAGGAGCTTGATGACAAGGATAAAGAGATCCTTAAAAGATGGAGGGTGGACAGGACCTGGGCGAACTGGCTGCCCGGCTTCGTGATTTATGCTGGCGTGATCTTGCGTTCACAGCCATGGAGGGGCACGACTCTCTTTCAATATCTGGACATCGTATATAAAGGTTATACGGGCTTTACTGGCCCGGCATGGCTCATATATGATGAAGAATTTAGAATGTGAAATGCCATGAATCCACAACTTCCATGGGACAGAATCCATCCTCACCTTTGGCTGCAAGCCATGTCCCCAACCAGATCCAATGCAGAGGATTGCTCCCATAGTGGGCACTTGGTGCAGCAGTTGCAAGCATCTTTGGTTCCCCGTGGTTCCATGGGACAAGTGGTTCAACCCTGCTTGCTTTGTTGGGAATTCAGTTCCCAGGGGGTCTGCAACAGGAAAGTCTGTCTTTATAAACATGGTTGTTGTTGTTGTATAAATATGAATGCCCCTTATGTGGGGGACCCCACTCCTTCACAGCCTGTTCCAAGAGGAAGACCTGTAGGAAACAGCGACAATGGGGGGGGGGGAGGTACTTCCTTTTCTCATGTGGGAAAAGGGTCCCAGCCTGCTAAAGCTGAAAGTTCTTGAAGCTTGGCTGCAGTGGTACCCCAAGAGGGAAGATAGTGTTTATTTGTTAGAGGGTTTCCAAGTTGGGTTTCATATTCCTTTCTGAATTGGGGAATTATATTTTCTTACAAGATTAATAGCAAGTCTTCGTGTAGCTTTCGGTATCTAAGTGGATGCAGGGGCCTAAGTAGAGGCTTGACCCTTGCGGTGGCTGAGTTATGTATTTGGGGGGAGTTTATGCAGTTTGTAAGCACCAATCAGCAACCCTGTGGGTGCAGGGGTCTGTCAGGATGATCCCTGCAGTTGCGCGGCCAAAGCTGAGAATGGCAGACTGCCTTTGGGGATTGCCAGGATGGATCCTCTGCGCAGGCTGTGCGGTTGTGTTGGATGGATCCTCATGGCAGATCCCATTGCTGGGCCTGCAGGGTGCAAGCCATGTATAGTTGGCTACACCCAAGGGCAGGGTGCATTGCTTGTTATATGGCAAGGAAGTGGTCGGTGACCCCAGGCCTTGACCGTGCTGCTGTTTACTGTTGCCCTTGCCATTATTATGTAAGCTAAATAAAGTGGACCTTAGTTTCCCAACCTATAGTTGTCTGACTCTTTCTTCCATCTGGGCGAGCAATAGAAGGGTGAACGTTATTGCTCATGGGGTATAATTTGGGGCAAAGCAGAACCATCCGATTGCCAAACTGGACTCTGTACACTGTGATAGCCTGATTCCAAAAGAAAAAGGAAGTGCATCCTTGCATTTTCAGTGCAGGTTCAGTCATCGTCAATATTTTTTTTACAGAAATCTATGCAGTCATAAAAGGTAAAGGTTCCCTTGCTTGAAAGCCAGTCAAATCCGACTCTAGGGTTGCGGTGCTCATCTCCGTTTCAAAGCCGAAGAGCCAGCGCTGTCCGAAGACATTTCTGTGGTCATGTGGCCGGCATGACTAAACACCAAGGCACACGGAACGCTGTTACCTTCCCACCAAAGTGGTACCTATTTATCTACTTGCAATTTCTTGCTTTCGAAATGCTAGGTTGGCAGGAGCTGGAACTAGAGATGGGAGCTCACTCCATCATGCGGCACCCGGGTCTCGAACTGGTGAACTACTGACCTTCAACAGACTGCAGTTCAGCATCTTAATCACTCGAGCCACCGCAGCAGACAACATATTTTGATTAGAAAGCAGAAGCACAAAATACTGACACAGATAAAAAAAGGGGCGTAAAGGGGAAGAGGGAAAATTCTCTATTGAAAAACTTCACAACTTGTTCCCAGTACAGAACAGAAAGAGGACAAAAAAATGGCTGAATCTGCATCCTTCCTTTTTTGTGTAATCTGGCACAATGTCCAGGATGAACATGATTCAAGAAACAAACAGTGCAACCATCAGCAGAATTGCACCCTTCTGAGTCTGCAGAGTTGCACCCTTCTGAGTCCATTTAAGTCAATGGGCCTAGTAGGAATGTACTATAAATTATCTCCCTTATAAATAAAAGCCAAATGGTGGTGGCACTTCTCTAGAGCATTCCACACGCTCTGGAATTGGTTGGCGCCCTGACATGACACTCAGAATCTGTCCCTATCCACTGGCTGCATTGCTTGAGTCTCGCCTCCAACATGCTAAACAGTTCCTCTGGAGAAAATGGTGGACTCAGTGTCATTATACCCCGCTGAGGTCGCCACAGCAAATTGACACTGAGTGTCCAAGGTTGGGGCACCCACCCAGAGCCTCTTTCTAGAGATCGTTGTATTTATTTCCACAACGGGCCTTTTTCCTAGTATAAAAATAAAAACAGGAGATCAGTGACATTTTATAGACTAAAAAAGTTTACTCCAGTTTAAACTTTTGTGAATCTGAGCTTGCTTAGTCAAATCTGCATGCATCTCATGAAGTGAGCTTTGACTCTCAAAAGCTTATGTTGGAATAAATTTTGCTGCTCTCTAATAGAAATATAAGCCAGCATTGTGTCACACTAGGATCTGAAAGCTCTTGGTTTGAATTTCCACTTTGCTATGGAAGCTTACTAGATGATCTTGGGTCAGTCACACATCCTAACCTACCTTGCAGGAGTTCAGGAGAACATTGCAAACCACTTTGGATCCCAACTGGGGAGAAAGGTGGGATATAAAGCATGCAAATAAGGTACCACGGGACTCCTGTTTTATTCTCCTACCACTAACTATGAAATAATTACCTATCAGGAATAAAACTACATAAGTAACTTAGGGCAAACAAA